ACGGATATTATTTTCAAATACTACCACCGTCCCACTGAGATTGGACATGAAGAAGTGGCACAAGTATTAGAAGAAATGGAATTTTGTGGTTGATATTCAATTTTTGAAGTGTCAAGAAAGCTAGAATGAACGAGAACCACACAATTATTACCAAATATGGTATGAAGAAAACTTTGATGGACAGAAGAAAAAGGACAATGGAACAGAGGGAGTAGCTTTGTGGAAGTGTTACAAGTTGCTCTAGTTTTTTTTAGCAAATTTGTAACTCAGTAATACTCGGGTAATTATTAGTACATTAAAAAATGATGTCATCTTAAATGTGTCACATGGTATATTTTAGTTTACTAGTTGATAATTGATGCTTTGTTCCATCATTTGCAATGGAGCCAAAGATTCATTATTTTGAATAAAGCAAAATGGCTCACTAAACTGTCTGCGCTTCTTTGTCATGAAGCAGCAGTCAGTCCATGCAATTTTGGACGCGATTTTCACTATGGGTCATCCGGAAACAGTCTCTTTGTGCTTTAGTACAGGGGTAAGACTGCGTATATCCGACCCCCCTTACCCTACCGTAGGTGGGAGCCTTTGCGGCACTGGGGTAAATGAAAATGATGAGTTGATAATTGATGCTTTAATCTTTTTAATAAGAATTATTTATTTTGTGATTCTTCTTAAGCATAGTTGTCATGGCGCATGGCGATCGCCATGACTCAAAGGCATTTTTCATTGTGCATGATGATGGCACATATACGAATGGCGCATATGGCGCTACGGCGACGACCACTTTTTCATGGCGATGGCGCGCGCCATATCTAGCCATTGACTATTATGATCTTAAGTTATTTTAAGTGTGGAAGTTTAGTTTCTGTAATGTTTACTAAATCTAAATGTAAGTTTAATTGTTTTAGAATTTGAGGATTATTAAGAAAAAAACCAAACAATTTTGTGAGAAAAACTATTTGAAAAAAATGAAATACCTTAGACTAGATTGAATATAGTTAGGAGCCTTTGTGGCACGGGGTAATGATGATGATGATGATGATGATGATGATGATGATGATGATTGAATATAGGTGGTGCCACAATTTTTCTATGGAATTCTAGAAGCAAACCATACAAGCCATTGTAGTTTAAATTGGTATTCACTATTTAAATTGCGGTTTATGAGGGTTTTGAAATGTGAAAAATTGGCTACCATGGTTGTCTTGTACAGGGGGGAAGGGCACATGTTTTGGATAGACGGTCCTTGTGTATTGATGGAGGCAGGAGTAGGGTTTTGTTCCTTTGATCTCTTTAACTTGTAGTCATGTCTATGTCTAAATTCCTAAAATGTTCATAAAATCACCTCTGTGATCAATGCTTAAGCCTTGATTTCCCAACTGTTTCATGTGGTACATGCCTCTGGTCAGCAAGGGGTAGGGTATTGGTTCTGGCAGAGAACACTTATGCCTCCAGTGTTGTTTATGTAATATATCTGTTAGGAGGAATGGTCTGCCTTTTTTTGTGACCACCACTAAGGTTGTAATGGGCCTTTGCTGTTGCCATATCAGTTAAGGAGTTATGTACGTGCAGTCATAGTCTGGGGGCATGATATTTAATACTATGTATAATGTTTGTTGAGTGGGTGTGTGGGAAATTGGAAATGCGGTTAGTAGTTTTGTTATTGACAGTGAGGTTAGCCCATCTTGACAGTAGATGCTTTGAAGTATTCCTTTTCAGAACATCACCTTTTGCAGTGTTACAAGTTGTGTTTGCATCATATTGCTCTGTTTAATATATTTAATTTGCAGCAAAAGTCTTTCACATTTCCTAAAAACCATGGATGCCATGGAACTTCAGAATGGCAAAGATGTCACTCCAAAAAGTGGAAAAAGGAGGAAGCGGCGATCTAATAGAGAAATGTGTACTGACGATGGAACATGTCCGCCTTTTGCTGCGGGCTTGTCAAGCAATGACAATGAACCAGGGGGGCAGGAATTGGGTTTTGCTAAAAAGAACAGGAAGGCTTCTAAATTACCTCCCAGAAAGAAAGGAAAATGTGGACATAATGAAGACGTTCCAGAGATTTTTGCCACAGATGAGATGGAGACAACATTCGGAGAGGGTGGTGTTATCTTTAAGAAATCTACAATGAAGTCGTCTAGGAAAGGGAACAAAAAAACTTGTTCGAGAAAGAAATGCAGTGATTCATCATCTATTGACAGGGTCGGAAAAGATGATGGGCAAACTGCTAGTTTACATCACGCAAAAGGCGCGCTACAAGAATTATCTTTAAGCCAACTAGATACTGATCTACCAGAGGAGGAGCATTTTGATTCTTCATTGTCGTTTGAAGCTAATGCTGACCTGGAGTCTGGTGATATTTTGGTAGAAGAATCTCTCAGTCATTCATTACAAATGAGACAGTTTGCTGGTGATGTCCTGGATACTAGATGTTCTGGATCTGACATTTTAGGTAAGAGAAAAAGGCATAAAGGTAAAAATGTGGCTCGCTCAATTGAGCTGGGAATTGAAGTGGAGGAAGAAGACTCCACGACTCTTGCTACCTTCCTTCAAAAATCTGGTAATTATAGCAATCATTCAGCTCCTGCTACAGTCACTAAACAAAATTCGAATTTAAATGAAATCAGTGTTCCGAAGGAACACACATCGACTGCTGCTTTAAGATGCAGTGAGATCCAAGAGCAGGGAATTGGAATTAGACTTGGGAACACAATTTCTTCTGCAGCACAGGGAGATATTGAGGATGAGATGCCTCTTGCTCATTTTTTCAACAAATTGAAGAGAAGAAGGCTTGAACTTCCGATAACAGGCAGCAATCCAGGATGAGCTGCCTGCTAATTGCTCCAATTTTTCAATGTTTGGAGAAATTGCTTGAGCCGCACCATCGGTATATAGTGCAACAACCAGCACTCGATTTTGACTACAGTTTTTCGTTTTCTTTTGCCATATTTTTCATGAGGCCGGCTTGATGATACACTTATGAGTTTCTAATGTACAGTGAGACTGGGAATGACATATACAATACATTTGTTGTGCAAAAGAGGTGAACCATACGGCTTTGGTTTATCACGATGCACTTGTATGTGTATTTGATGTAGCACATATTTCACGGTGTCATAAAAAGTTGGTCTTTAATATACTACTGTGTCTTGTATATGTATATGTATTAGCTTGCACCATTGCCAATTTTAGAGCCCCATGCCCCCATATCTTGAATTAGACTCACTCTATCCTTTTTCTCCTCTTAATATCGCCATATCGGCTTTAGGGTTCCTGTTACGGTGTTTGTTAGCACTTTGCACTAGCTATTAGTTTTTATGATCAGATCATGTTACGAACAATTTTGCTGAAATAGAGAGGTTGTGAATAGGGATGGACCCGGGCTGATTCCGGTTCGGGCCTTGGCCCGGCCGGGCTTTTATTTGGGAATGGTGGAATCGGAACCGGCCCGAGTAGCTGGCAGTTCCTGGCCGGGCCGATTCGCATTATAGGGGGCCCAAGCCCGCACGGGATTACAACGGTTCCGGTTGGCCCGAACCGGCCCCAAGATTGGGTACCGGGCCAGGCCGTGCCCAAAGTGTACTGGTCCAGTTCCGGGCCGGGCGGCCTGACCAAGTCCACCCCTAGTTATGAACTTAGGATGTTTTTACTTGGATTGTAATTTGCTGGTCTGGTCTGATCTGGTCTGAACTGGTCTGGTCTGGTAAGGTCTGGCTTCTTTGTATTTTTATAACTATCCAAGTCTGGTCTGAACTGGTCTGGCTGGGACAAATTACAGTCCAAGTAAAAACATCCTTAAAACTCTTCACTTTTACACTTTATCTAATGGCTAAGACTAATTATTTATTATTATAAATAGTGTCTGTGTTTGATAAAATTAAATTTTGTGGAAATTACTTGGGAGTAGGGGTGCAAACGAGCCGAGCCGAGCCCGATAATCTACAGGCTCGAGCTCGAGCTCGAAATATATAGCATCGGCTCGAGCTCGGGCTCGGCTCGAACGAGCCTACAAAATCGCGGCTCGAACTCGACTCGCAGAAGGCTCGGTTCGACTCGGCTCGGCTCGAGGCTCGATAACCATTATGATTCTCCATAATGAGTCCGTAGTAAAAATTCACTGTCATCGGCCCATTCTAAGTTTTTCTACTGAGTAGTAACGACCTAAGCCTAAAATATTATAAAATTTTACTAATCAGCATATATTATATACTCCCTCCGTCCCCTTTTAAATGTCCCGTTTTACCATATTGGGATGTCCCTATTTAATTGTCTCATACCTTATTTGGTAAAGTTTGTGTGGTTCAAAATTATTTTTACTTTATTCTTACTTTATCAATTAATATCAATCACACAAACCCACTTTTCTTAAAACTCGTGTCATACTCTTCCGAGACATTTAAAAGGGGACGGAGGGAGTATATCATATATATTACTCCGTACATTATAACAGTATACATTATACGTAGTATATTAATTTATATTGCATAGTAATATATTATATATGATTATATAATATATATATTATAAATATTCACATATAAAATTAGGCTCGCGAGCCGGCTCGCGAGCCAGCGAGCCTGAAATTAGAAGGCTCGAGCTCGGGCTCGACTGCTTAACGAGCCGGCTCGAGCTCGGCTCGAGCTCGAATTTGACCGATCCCGATTCGAGCTTTGACCGAGCGGCTCGCGAGCGGCTCACGAGCGGCTCGGCTCATTTGCACCCCTACCTGGGAGGTCCATTCTCTATAAACCTCTATCAATAATGTCTGTACTACCTTTTCTTTTCATATTTAACTTTTATATTTTCACTTTTGGTTTTTTATTTCATTTTTAGACGGTTACCTGCCAACGTTCTCCACCTATACCAATTTCCTTCCACCGCGAGTCTCCTCTTTCTTCCTGCTTTCTCTTTTCTTCTTCTCGAACTCATCTTTTCTCTTTCGTCATCTTCACGATAATGTCTACGGCAAATACTCCTCGTGTTACGAGATCTTCTCGGCTGAATATCGATGGAAGAATTTCAGATCGTCACAGTGCTTCTGCTTCCCCTGTTCGTTCTAGAAGTCCGAACTTGGCTCCTAAGAAGAGAAGAAACGAAAATGCTCCAAAGCCTCGCAAAAAAAGCGAAGGTTTCCGTCAATGTACAAGCGAAGAACTCTGGTAAATCTGTTAAGGAACAAAAAATAACAAATATCCTTCGACATTTAAGGTACTTTATCCGCTTTTGTTATATTTATAGTGCTTCTTCTCTTTTGCATGTGTACTTTTTGTTCTTGTCTTTGAATTTGTTTTTTTTTAATTTTGTTTATTTAATTTTAATTTTGTTACTTTTTTTAAATCCAGGAGTGGCAGTATTTTGTTCCATCTGAATCGTGGTTTAACAGTAGAGTTTGTACTTTTAGTAAGGATTGCATTTCTGTAAATCTTAAGGCCAAGATGACTGATGTGCAATTGGGATTATTTAGGGAAACCTGCTTTGGTAAATTGTTGGATTTTCAAGACCTTAAATTGCAGCCTCAACCTGTGCATTGTTTGCTTTTGCGAGAAATTAGTCACAGTATTCCCAAGGAGATCTGGTTTGATGTTTCTGGCTTTCGTTTGCATTTTTCAATTGCTGAATTTGCCGTTGTGACTGGTTTGAAGTGTAGTGGTGAATTTGATACTTCTACTATTCCTTCATCAGATAGTAATTCACTTATCAAAAAGAATTTCAACAGTTGTTCTAAAGTTACTCGTGAAGATATTGAAACTTGTTTTCTTGGTCAAAAGGCTGATTGTGATGAAGATGCAGTTAAAATTGCTATTCTGTATGTCCTTGGTTTGTTCTTCTTTACTTCATCTAAGGATAAGGTCATAAGTGAAACTTAGTTGGCTATTGTTGATTCTGGTTTATGGGATTCCTATCCTTGGGGGAAAGATCTTTTTGATGTGACATTACAGAACTTGAAGGGCGGACTTGTTGGAGCAGATGATTCGGAAAGTGATTATTTCTTTTATCATATTTTAGGATTTCCTCTTGCTCTTCAGGTCTGGTTTTATGAGTGTTGTGGTTACTGCGATGGTGTGTTTGCTTGTAGATCTGTTTCTACTATTCCTCGAATGTTGTCTTGGCATTCTTCCATTGCACACACTTTCAAGAAGTTGAATATGGAACTTCTTTCTTTATCTGCCTCTCAGGTTTTTGTCTTGCTTTTGTTTTCATTATTACTTTTTTGTTTTTATTATGATTTTATTCCATTTAATTTATTTTCATTTTATGTTTTTTATTTATCAGTTGAAGCTGCACAATGTTGAACTTACTGCCCTTGAAAGTGAATCACCTGAGTTGCATGCTTTGTTTTCATCTCATCCATTGAGGCCCCGAAATATGTCATCTGTTTCAAATGCTGGGGAGGGAACTAGTTCTTTTGATGGTGTATTTTCGAACTCTGTTCTACAGGCTTTTGAAAACCGGCTTGACACCAAACTTCTTGCTTTCAAAGAGTTTGTTCAGGGCAAGTTTACTGATTTAGAACACAAGCTTGACCGTGTTATTTCACTTTCCCATGTTCAATCTTCCAAACACACAAATTCTGATTTTTTTCTCTCGTGATATAAATCAACATGTAGAAGAACCTGTAGTTACTAATTCCGTTAGTGATGATGTTGATACTGCGAAAGGTCTTTCTGATAATGATAATGACTTTGATATTCTTTCTGGTGGTGGAGATGTAAATGTTGATCTTCATTCTGGTCAGTTAGATGAATCACTGATATCTGCTGACCCTAATGGACATGCCTCAGATGATACACAGGTTATGGATTGTTCCTTTTTTCATTTTGTGTTCATTGTTTAATTTTGTTTCATTGTTGTTTCTCTGCTTTCTTTCTTTTTATGAAATTCTTTATTTCCATGCTTTTAATCTCATTGATCCTTTCTGTTATCAGATTGCGGGTGATGTTCCTGACATGACCCGTCATTTGCAGCAGTTGGAGTCTAAAGATTCTGATATTTTCCTTCATTTCATATATGATCTTGTGTTCTCAACATTTACTTATTGCATGTCGGCCGAGAATGATACTGTTTTGATGGCTTCTGTTGAAAATATGGTTTCAAAAGGCTATAAAATTTCATAATAAATACAACAGACCTATCTCAGCTTCTGTTGGGATGCCCACAAAAAATTTCAATTGCTGAAGTTGTACCTTATTTTCATTAACTTTTTCATTCTTTGTACTTCTCTGTTTACTCCTTATTGTAACTCTCCTTAATTATTTTTAATAAATCCGGAAAGTGTTTCTCGGCACTTTCCCAACGAGTGTGGTTTGCTCCGGGATTAAAAAAAAGGAGTAGTTAGACACTTGGACTCCCTAACTATTTACGATGTTTATACTTGGATTGAATTTTTTTTGTTTGGTTTAGTTTGATCATGTCTGGTCTGACCTATTTAAATCCGGTATGGTTGAGTCTGAGATTAAAATAAGTCTAGGTAAAAACATCCTTATACTAAGTACATTTATTAATCCATCTCGTATGTGCTACTCGAGAGTAATTATGAACCTGTTTGATAATCTCTATTTTTAGTGTATCAACTGTCTGTCAACTTTTTACCAAACATGTAATTACTTATTTCGTGCGTTGAATTGTATAATAATCAAAATAAGTACGATTAGAGTTATATTCTGATTGAATTGGCCAAAGTTAATGCAGAATACTATTTTAGCAATTTTTCGTATTACTGTTCTGTTGGGGGAAAAGGGTCAAATAGATCATTCTACCATTTTCAATATATCATTAAGCCCATGTATTAAAATAATGTTAAATAAAGAATTATTTACAAAATTATAATCCAGTTAAACGTATTTATCCATATAGTTGGTGACTTTCTGAAAAGTCGAAAACCCATGCACGAAGTTAACGAATCGAGGAAATTAGGAAAGCAACATAATAGGACTATAGGAGACTCATGGGTCTATGTAAAATAAAAAATCTCCTTTTTCTTTAATGTACGGAGTACTATACATTTTATATTTTTGTTCCAATTTTTACGAATAATATATCAATTTAATAAAATTTTGTAATATTTCAAATGAAACCGAAGATCATTTGGGCTGAAAAGCTACTTGGAACTATGCACCGTCAATATGGTGCTGTTTAGTTCGTATGTTCTGAATTTATTAAGACCTCATTTGATTTTTTTTATTTGATATGATCTAAATTTTTCTGATCTGATCTGAATGTTTGATCTCGTGTGACTCTTTTTTATCATATCTGAACTTTTGAATTGATACTACGTATATTATAATAAAAATAATAATAACAATGTGCTATCCCAATTGTATGTAATAATTAGTATTTATAATAAATATCATCAACCCATGTTGTTGTAGTAATGGTAATAATAATACTAATCATCATCTATCATCTATCATCATCATCACCATCATCTATCATCATCATCATCTTTATAATAATAATAATATAATAATAATTTAATAATGTTAGAATTTTTGCAATTGGGTATGAATGTTTCTGATCTGTGCTTTTCTTATCTAGTGTGATCTGGTTTAATCTGAATATTTATGATCTGATCTTATCTTATCTAAATCTTTATGATCCGGTCTGATCTGAATATTTCTTATCCGATTTGAATCTTTTTTTATCTGATTTGAATTTTACCAATCTCAAAAGATTTGAATAAATTAAGAATAAACAATAAGCAATAAGAATAAGATCAACTGAACATCACCTAAACCTATTTCTGAACCGGTTTTCAATCTAGCACAATCAATATATTCATCCAACATAAGTTTTTAATTAAATCCTTACATTTTTTTTATTCTACATCAACTTTTAGCAAAAACTTTTTACAAAATGAAGATCTGATTGCTAAAGCTTTTTAAACTCATTTTTTTGTTAAGCATATCTGAGTGTTAAAATTAAATTCTCATGATTATTTTATACTTCTTTCTGTTATATTTTCAATATAAGAAAGAACTGAAATTTTTTACTTTCTAAATCAAACTAAAAAAATTGGAATTTAATTATTTGGTTGCTTCAAGCCCTTTCTTGAAAAAATAACTGAAAGATGTATCTAATAATCATGAATTCATGAGATCTTAATTGGATCTGGTTAAGAGAAATTTCAGTGTAAAAAACTTTAGCAACATGATCTTCAAATTTGTGTTTTCATTTGAACATGTTGAGAATCAAGTTTGTTGACGATGTAGTAGTTTTTTCATCACTTACGGTCTTCAATTTGTTTTTAATCTTTATATGTACACTGCAAACAAGTTGCCCTATACCAACAGTTTTCTTAATCGTTAATATTATGCCTGGACTCGGGCCGGTTCGGGCCCGGTTCGGGCCCGGTTCGGGCCTGGGCCCGGCCGGGCCTCGGGCCAGGAAAGGGAGGCCCGAGCCCGAACCGCAGGTGGCCGGTTCCGGTCCCGGTTCCGGGCCAAACCGGGCCGGGCCGGGCCGAACCGGCCCAATAATTTTTTTTTTTGTTCTTCTATTTAATCCCCCACCCCTCCCCCTCAACCCCAAACCATCCCAAACCACCTCAAATGGCCCAAAATACCTAATCCAACCTAAAACTTAAAAAAATTTCAAAAAAAAAAAAAAAAAAATTAAAATCCGGCCCGGACCGGGCCCGAACCGGCCGGGCCGGTTCACCAAAACCTGGGCCCGGGCCCGAACCGCCCAGCAGCCGGGCCGGGCCGAACCGAACCGAGGGACCCACCGGGCCCCGGGCCGGGCCGGGCCAAATAGTAACCGGGCCGGGCCGGTTCCGGGCCGGGCCGCCCGGCCCGAGTCCAGCACTAGTTAATATATGTTCCGTCAATATAGACCAACATAAATTTAAGCAATTTATATACTTTTGGAATAGACATCATTTGACTATACCAATAAAAATTTATGCAATTCCGACAGAAATCTTAACTTGGTATACATTCCGTCGGTATAGACCAACGGCAACGTATTTTGCTACCGTGGGAATAGCTCATTAACTTATACCAACACAATACTAACCGAGTAACCGTTAATAATTAACATTTACCGTTAGTATAGTAACAACCATTTAATAACTCACATACACACCCATAACTTTCAAACACAATTGCAAATTGAGATCAGCAATAAAAACATAATTTCAAATGTCATTCAATTATGGATGTAGATCTGTTTACAAATTCAAGTAAATGATATCATTACTAAACAAAAAGTAATTCTACCGACTTTTTACATTTTATAAAACTTATACTACTACATATTAACAAGTCCAACTGTCTGGCACAAAATCAAATTGTGAAGTTCAATTTTCCATCCCAAAGCTTTCCTCTTTTCATGTTTAATCTATCAATTCTCAATACCTGAAATTAATACAATTCATGTTAAGCCAAATGAATAATAAACTGTAGGAAATATTGTTGCATAGATGACAAATAAAGATTAATTAGACCATATAGCTATAATATGTTTATAACTCTATTTCATATAGTTCCTGCATAAGCATATAGTAGAGTTTATAGAGATTCTTATGAATGATAGCATCACAATCAGAGATAATCAACTCTTGATCTTAATAATTCTGCATTATCCACTTTTTATTAAGATCAACAATAATATTGATTTTAAATATCAAATGCTATTTTAGCTTCACATAATAATGAAGCAAACCGTTTCTACAAATTTTCTCAACAATCTCTGACCTAATAGTCCCCACCTGAGCGCTAGCTCTTAGAACAATGCTAAAACGTAACAATAGATTAACTTTTAGATAGCCAATTTTCAGTTTTTGATCAACATGACCCCCCGCCCCCACCAAACAAAGAATAAGAAGGCTACACGATTATTTAAGTATAAAAGAACAAATGTAGTATTTTACCATTCAAGATACTTCAGCTAGAAAGTTATACTCCAATGTTGTCATCATTTTATCTTCTCAAATGACTTTCACAGAACCAATGATCCTAGGTACAAATAGTTCAACCAAATGCCCAACAAAGATAAAGTAAAACAAAGATAAACTAAAACTGGTCATAAAATTGGAGAAGATGCTTGAGTCGCTTACTGTAATTTCATGTTATGTGATGCCTAAAAGGTAGGAGAATGACAGAGATTATCGAACCACATAGGGCTAGCTCCCCAATGAAAGTCTTAAAGTGCAGACCAAACAAATCAACTGTTTTTGGATGGAAGGGTGAATCTCTCTACAAGCCTGAGTTTACTGAAAAATAAAATTTAAACATAAAATGGAAAAAAGAAAGTTGAAAAATATAAAATAAAAAAATGATACGACCATTTGATCACTTGTACTATACAATCAGGATCGAGTGTGACAAGGAAAGAACAAAGTCAAGACTAAGTGTCACCTCCTTCAATTTATCAAAACATCTGTGTCAACCGCTGTAGGGGATTTCTCATAGATGCATTTTTTAGCAGCATCTTCCCAGGCCTGAAGGATCTCACAGTGAACAAGTCCATTAGAATAGGC